CGGGAAAAAACAAGTGGGGAGGTGAAGCTGTGCTCGCACCCGCGGCTGTCCCGGCACAGCCGTTTGCGGGAAGCGGGTTCCCGGGCTTGTGCTTCAACCTGAGGGGCGCTGGGTTTGGCCCGCCTTTCGTCAAAATCCGGGAGGTCTCTCAGAGTCACCGGGGCTCTGGGAGAATGCAGGGGAGAGCAAGATCTTTGCCTCGCAAGAAATACTCTTTGACCTTTTCTAGAATTTAGTGTATCCTTGTGTTTTTATCTCTCTGTAACTGGTGCCTTTCAGCTTAGTGCCCACCCTGCGTTTCCTATGTATAATTTTGTTTGAGAAATAGCATTCCCTCATAGCTTTTTGTCTTGTCTTTCAGGGAGGGAATTGCTTTCCGGTAATAGTAAAGGAACGTGATACTGAATGAAAACGCACCAACAGCATCCTCATTAGTCGGAGCCTGACTCCTGCTTAATGTTGGTTTCTTTGTCATCAGGTCTGCTAAAAAATGACAGAATATAAACTTGTTGTCGTTGGAGCTGGTGGTGTAGGCAAGAGCGCCTTGACAATACAGCTAATTCAGAATCACTTTGTGGATGAATATGACCCTACAATAGAGGTAAACAATTTAATTGTATACTTTTTTGTGAAGAGAGATTATCAGTAATAATGGTAGTAGTTTACTTATTGGACAGTTACTGCAAAAACATAGAACAGGGCTTTGTAATATAATGAGCTCAAAGATAATGGTCAGCATTGGACTAGCATTGGAGAAGAAATTGCTGTGCTTCTTGATCTGGCTGTGGAGCAACAACTGCAGTGAAACATTAACAGTTTTGATCAATTGAAGTATGGTGTTAATTGCCACGTTTTGTTGGACAGTTTGAATGCATGTTTTTAGGATCTCAGTGACAAAGTATTTGCCAAACTCACTTGAAAATGCTTGGCAAAACTCTTCATGGCTTTGCATGCAACCTCCTAAATGTGACTTTCCTTTTTGATATCAAGAAGGAAAATTCATAGTTCTGAAACGTATGCGTCAAGCTTTCTCAGCTCCTATCGTTAGGATCTGTTTCACATGGTGAGAAATGTGTTCTGGAATGTTATGGTGAATAAGGCAAAAAAATTGGAGCCTGATTTATTTTTATTTAAACAGACCAGTGTGTGTTCCTGTATCTAGGAAAAATGTTACAAGATAGCTGCTGTAGTGTATTCTTTGAAATACATGGCACAGTTCCTCAAAATTGGAAATTGTATTTAAGCTTTAAAAGCTGCAATATTTGAAAGGTTTTTAATGAGCAAGTGAGCTTTGCCTTTTCAGACACCACTAGTATTTTTCTTATATTTAAATCTCTTGTGGATCATTGGATTTAATAACCTCAGACCATATAAAAGGAGAAATGACACTATAATTTACCCAAGATTTTTATGTTCCCAGCAGTGAAGCTCTGTAGCTCATGACTTCATTTATATGTTTATACAATGAGGCACTTCCAAGCTCACTTGAAGGAATCACAAGGGTTTAAATCTAGGCTTAAAATGGTGACTCGGAAAATGGCTGTGTAGTCATTTTCAGGTAAACATAAGCAAGAGGAGCCAGTGCCCTGAGATGGTAGGCAGCTGTCGTTAGCGACGTACAGGCCTGAGTTAATGTGCCCCAGAGAGAGATGGCTTGGCTTGAGTTTGAGTTTACCTTAACGTGCCTGTGTGTCATCTTGTCTCTCTGTTGCATGGCCAAGTACCCTCATGTATGCTTGTAGGAGATTTTGTGAATAGACCTATGGAGGGAGGAAGAGTGTTTGACTTGCGCTAGGAGAGCAGGTCTTTCGATTACTAAGATGTGAAATCTTAACCAGCACCAACCCAAAACACGCTTAAAAACCAGAAAACGCATAAAACTCATTGAGAGGAGCAAATGAAAGGGATTTTACTTCTTCCTGCCAAAGGAACGTGGGGGGATGTTGGTCTTTAATGCTTGTTCATAGTCATCTGGGTTTCTCTTAGGTTAGAGGTGTGCTTACACATTAAAAAAAGTGCTGTGGAGGTTCTGTGTTAGAAGTTGTCATATAAAACCAGAACTCTGTGAGCAATTTAGGAACACACAAACTATAATGCCAGTATTCCTACAGTACTGGAGGCGTTTTACTAATCAATAAGCTGAGTATTTTGAGGACTACCAAATACATTTTAATGTAAAATAATAAAATACAGTTCCTTATAGAAAGAATCTAAAATTCCAGAACTGTGGCTTTTATTCAGTAGTGTGCAGGATGACTGTAACACTGTGGTGTGGTCCAGAATCTTCTCAAAGAAAGAAACCTTTAACCTAATGGGTTTTACCAGCATCAACAACTTGTAGGAGTTGCAGAAGATTAATACTGTTGCATGCGACAAGTTCTTGTCTGAGCACTAGTTGCCATTTTTGTCTTTTAAGTTTTGAGACCTTGAGGATGGATATTTTATCTTCCTTTTATGCTGTAAATCACCTTGCGTGCTCACAGTGTGATAAAATAACCATGAAGGTAAGCTTGTAGGGAAGAAATAATTCAGTTATAGTAAGAGCGGACTGTGATTTGGAGTGGCAAACAAGTTCCAAAGAATGGGCTTGTAATTGGGTCTAAATGCTTCAATCCCAGGCAGAATCCTGTTCAGTTGAGAAGGGTTGCTTGATTGTGCTTCCTGTATAGATGCAGTTGTCATGGTAGGGGCTGATCAATGAACCATAGCTGTAGAGTGGGGGGTTTTTTATGCAGTATGAGGAAATAAAGCTAAAGTTGCTTTGACTGGTAAATAATAACAGTTAGGATAGTTCAGTAGTGTCATTACTATTGGTTCTCACTACTGTTTTCATTGCCCCTATGGCTGTTGCCAAAATACTATTTTTCCCTCGCAGATAAATAATCAAGCTAAATATTTTGGGGTAGGCAGAGAAAAGAGTTCAGTGTTTGTTATCTGTAGTGGATTCCATAACTACACAGTTATTCAATAGTTTTAAATCTTTCCTGTGATTAACAAAATGAAACTCAACATTTCTAAAATTCTCATGTTGTGAAGACATGATGAAATTGAAGAGAGGATAAAATACACTAGTTACTTACTCACAGATGCATTTACAATGGTAATGTTGCTGTTTTCAGTGGAACAGACTTAATGATTCAACAGATAACTTGTTTGGAAAATGTCAAGTTTCATAGGCTGCTTGAGTATTTCATTATATCTGAGCATAGCAGATGATGGGCGGAGGGGGAATTAAAATGAGTGCGTGTTTGGGTGGCTACTGTTATTCAAATATGTGCTCTATATGTGTTTCACAATTTCATACCTTATTTGAAGTAGATGTCCAAGCACAGATTTATAACCAAGATATTTGAAGTCTTTTTTTCAACTGTATGGACACTAACCCTTGTAAATCTGGACTAATACACAGAACAGTTGGACTAGTGCCCTCTACTGGTTTACGTTTGTTAAATTTTTATTTCTGCTACCTTGTGTGATAGTATAATTTTAAATTTTTAAATTTATTTTTATGTTTTACAGCTTCAGCGTGTTTTAGTGCTAAATATATGTCTTATTTTAAATGTCCTAGGAAAGAACAGCCTTCCTAGCTGCCTGTCAGAGGTTTTTCAATTGGATTAGGGAAATCCCTTGACTGATTTAGGAATACTGATATTTAAGTCTGTGTTCTTGAATGACCCATGCACCTGTGAAACTTCCACCAATATTTAGTAATAGCTCAGTTTTAGTAGCTGTGATATTTTAATATTAAATAGCTGATATAATGGATTTTTACAAAATAATAGTTACTTGCTTAGATGGCATTTATTAAGCAGTGGGGGTTTTCTTAGATAAATTCCATATGTAGTGTGTACTAGAGATTTCCTATCACATTTTTGTATCAGTGCTTGTGAACAGATGGAATTGTTATTCCTTTATAGCATAATTTCTGCTGATTTTTATGGCTTGTGGAAGGCCAATAAAAGCAGGTTAAGTGATTAATGAAATTAAAACTTTTTGATATAGATCTGCTATGTCTGTATACTGGATAATAATTGCAAAGTCATATTTGGAGTAATGTACTGCTGCAAAATTAATTTTTAGTTTGCATTTTGTTTTTACTTAATAGCCTTATACTGGATGTTTCTTCATTGTACTCATTACTGCAAGTCTTCCGATGTGCAGTAAAGCTACTGGATTTTTATAAATTATGAATTTTTGTAGATTAGAAGGTTGTGGGTGGGGTTTTTTTTGTATTTGAAGGGGAATCTGGCCATTTGGGTTCTGCAGTTGCGTTTTAAAGCAGAAGTGCCACTAGTACTACAGTGGCATAACTTTTTGGTACATCCTACATTCTGGTTTGCAGGACTTGATAATTTTTACAGTATACTAACACTTAAATAAACAACTTTTATCTTGGGTCTGTTTACACTGGTATTCACCACGATGGGGGTGGAGGTCCCAGTAGCCTGAGCTTTTAATGTGGTGCTTCAGTTTTCTTTCCTACTGTGACAAATGTTATTTCAGGTTTGATGTTTTGCAGAGGGGGGGAAAAAGAGGCAAAAAAGCAAAGTGTTTATTATTTCGGTAGCTTGGAAGGAAATCATAAGCTGGACATTTTTCTCTTGTGTCTTTTCCTTCCACCTCAAATCACCCTTCTAGATAGTGACAAAATTTTCTCTCCAGAAGTGGGCAAAACAAATATAATCTCAAAGTGTTCCTTCTTGTACCTGTGCTGTGCTTTATGCTGGTGCACCTTTGCTACTACTGCTAACGTGGTAGGCATGCTAAAGCCAGCAGTTCTTAATAGCGATTTTCTTTTCTCTTAAAAATTATTTTCTTTGATGAAAATTACTTAAAGCTTTTGTTTAGAGCTCAGTTGAGGGGAATTTCTTTTCCTTTGAAGTGCTAAGATGTAAAGGAATAATACAGGCTTTTCAAGAACTGTTTTTCATATTTTTAAACTAGCAGTCAAATTGCAAGAAGAGAAACTAAAAGCTTTGTAAATATGCCTAGTATAATGCTAGAAGTTCTACTAGTACTTCACTGTGAGCTGTGATAAAAAGGTATCATAGGACATGGGGGGTCTGCTATTGAATTTAAGTGAATTGGAATAAAGATACGCCCTTTAGGGGTTTTTGGTGTGTTTGGGGTTTTTTGTTGGTTTTGTTGTTTGGTTTTTTTTTTATTTAAGCAATGAAGTAGAATATTAACCTTATTTTCATACACGTTGGAGCTTGTGTATTTGTCTCAGCTGTATTAATATTTAAACATGGCTTATATATTTCTAAAGTAAGTTACCTACTTCTTACTTGAATGCTAAATTTGCACTTCTGTGAAATAAATATTTCCAAAATCATGTTGGAAGTAAACTTTTATCTTTAAGGTAAACAGTCAATATTGTTTTACCTGATACTGTTAAATGTCATCCAGGCTCAAGATAAATGTGAGATTACTTTGTTTAGTTTAAGATACTAATTCTATACAATTATCTCCTGCTTGGTTTTTAGCATGAGCAACAGGAAAGAAGAGAGCCTTTTATAAAAACACAAATAGATAGAAAGTGCACAAGAGTAGGTGTACTGTGCCTTAAAATGAGTACAAAGGAAGGAAGGTCACTCTGAATTAATCTTGAAGTTGGCTAGAATTGCAACTTTAATTCTTTAATTCCCTTCCCAGTAGCTTAAGTTCACTTCTGTATAGTGTTAGAAAGAACAATGGCAATATTGTGTTAATCTCTAGCTAAAGGATCTGAAAGGTAACACTAAGATTTTGTGTTTATATCTTTTCTTTGTTACAAGTACTGTTTACTGAGAATCATTCATGGCCCTGCTCAATGACCTATTTTTAAAGCTTATTGACATGGTTTTATTTTGAATATATAGATGTTTATAAGAAATAGAGTTATTGGGAAAGTAATGCTTATATTTTTATTGCTAAAACTATTCATAGAAGCCTAGCACAAAAAAGAGCTGTAAATAGGCATTAATATCTAGTCTCTTGGGATTTTGTACAGATTTTAGCCACTTGAATCAGTGACCTGAAAACTTTGAATTGATAGCATTGAAATAACTTGTTCCAACATCTCTATGAACCAGCCCATCAGGGCTTTTATATGACTCTGTGTTGGTCTGTCTTGGCTAAAAAGCTTGAACTTCAAATATAACAACTCAACTTTGGTAACTTAAATATCATTATATGTACCTGCTTAGGCATACAAACTAAATTTGCTGTCCCAAACACTGAAGGCTGTTTAGACTTCATCTCCTTTTCAGTGGCATAGATTTTTAGAGTTGTCTTCTCACTTGTGAATTCTTTCTATTTTATTATTTTGTACATTGTTGTGGTACAATGCTTTTGTAAACATCCATAGACTGAAGGTAAAATTTTACTTTTTTTTTTTAAAAAAAAGGAATTTTGGTAAATTCAGTAAGCTTAAAGTAAAACCTTTTGAAATCCAGATTACAAGTTTCTTCAGTTCTTCTATTAACAGAAACAAAGGGGAAATGCTTTTCATCTGGATCCAACTTGTACTTTTTTTCCTTTTGTACAAAATAAGAAATAAGAACACTGTCCTTTTTCTGTGTGTGTGCACACATTTGCTGTTACTCACTGAAGATTCCAAATACAGATAAGAACGTGTCCTTGCAGTGCTCTTTCCACTTCTGAATTACTATATACGTGTAAATATGGGACACTATTCTCCTACTGTCACTTGTCCATCTGTAAAGTTGGATTTTAACTCTTAACTGTTTTCAGTCATGCTCGATTACTAGTAAACAACTTTAATATCTTCTGAGTTATAGGTGCTTGAAATCTTACTTGTTTGTATTTAACCAAGGTTTATGTTTTTTTGTTTCTTAGGATTCCTACAGGAAGCAAGTAGTAATTGATGGAGAAACTTGTCTCTTGGATATTCTCGATACAGCAGGTCAAGAAGAATACAGTGCAATGAGGGATCAGTATATGAGAACAGGGGAAGGCTTCCTCTGTGTATTTGCTATAAACAATACAAAGTCTTTTGAAGATATTCACCATTATAGGTGTGTATATCGAAAGATAATCGACTGACCCTTGTCATTAGGTGGATATGTTGCTTGCCCTTACACTAGAGAATAGAACGATTTCTTCTGAAATAGCATCTGAGGGGAAATTTGCGAATTTGCAATATTGCAACTTATTTGTGCATTTGTAGGTCTGTAATTTTGGGTAATCTGAAAATCAGCTGCCTTGCTCACAAGTTAGGCAGACAAAATATCTGAAAGCTATTCTGTTATAAACTAATGTGATTTAGTATTTCTGCCTGTTCATAGTGAAGACTTATCCAAAGGTAAACTCTGCCCATTCCATAAATAAAATTGTATGTAAAGATGGAAAAATATATGCAATTGAAATTGTACGGACAATAATGTCAATTGTTAGCTTTTGTTCCGGGGATGGAGGGGAAATACGTGTGGAATGTTACTAATAGACTAACATGCGTGAGCCCTGATGCCTAGGGAGGGGAGGCACACACAAAATCTCAGCTCCAGGATAACTGCTAAAAAATAACCTGTTAGTAGTTTCTTCATGTTCTCTTTTTTTTATACATAATTAGTTAAAAATTTCAACTCATGCTTTCTTTGTCAGCTACACTGATATAGAAATAGAAGCAGTCTCTGGTGATGACCATACCAGAAGATTGGTAACTTAGTAGCCTACTATTATACTGAATTCTCCTTGGGTACTCTGTTAGAAGGCAATGCAAATCCTGCCAAAGATCACTGAGCTGAGCAGCATCAGTTTAAGATTAGTCCCAAACACATAATGTTAAGCTATTCATAGTTTATAATTTATAATGTTATCAGATCTGTGTTGCCGTATAGTGCAGGAGTGCTTTGCTATCAGTGTTACCTACAAACCCCAATACCTACTCAAGTTGAAGTTGCATGTTTTTGTTACAAATAGAAGTTACTGTTCCTCATTTAAAGGTGGGATACCATGACAGTTCAAGGTAATTGAAGCCAGCAGGTGCAACTACCCTGATCGCATAGTTTCATTTTCTCCCGTATGCCAGCAAGTCAGCTCATTCCATTGTGTAGTGTGCTGATGTGAGTAGCTAAACAGGTAGATGCCTGCTTACAGAAATAGCTTACTGCTGGCTTATCTCCCTGGAGCAGCAGCAGGATCGGGGGAGTACTGTTGCAGATGAGAGGCGCGAAATTGCTGCATACTAACCTGGGAAGAGATCAATATTGAGAATGTGGATGCTTTGTTTCAGGACTGCTTCTTTTTTATATTTGAATTGAGCTAGCCAGCTTCTGTATAAATTTCATTGTATATAAAATGTGTTAATTGAATGTATCGGTACTGGTGACTTAAAAAAAAAAAACCCAACAAAAACCCAGTTAAGAGTTAACATAGCAGGGATGACAAACTAAGAAAACCACATACCTATTGTTCTCAGAAGAGCTGTGAACTTTTCTTCATTATCTAACTGGATTATTACAAATGCATTTCCTCTGGTTGTAGAGGGAGAAGGGAAAAAGGTAAGATAGATGTTGACATAAGGGGAAGAAGGAGCATAGAGGATTTTATATGGAATTTTCGTTTGTAAAAAGAGAGTTGCAGATTTGCATAAGAAGGCCTTACCAGTTTATTTCAAAGAATGTTGTAAATTGAATGATGGGAGTTTCTGCTGTGTTCACACACCTGTGGATGACCTTGCAGACTGAAGCTGAAAGCTTATAAATAAATAACTGAAAGCAGTGACTGTATTAATTAAGGAACATGCTGCTAAATTATTTGGGAAGGCAAAAGTAATGAAATTAATGATTGTTATTTGAGATTCTTGACAAGTACATCTAACTAGTATTTCAGAGTGCTTTCTAACTAGTATTTGAAAGGGCTCTCTTACCAAATTTCTCTTTGTAGGGAACCAGAGCAGTGGTCTTCAAAGTTTAAAAACCGCCGTCTAAATGCGGAGTTTGTAATGTTGTATTTAATTTAAAAAAAAAAAAAAACAAACCCCAAAACCAAACCGAAATTGAGACAACAGGCATAGTGCTTTTGACAGTGTTGTATCTTAGCAGATGAATTGAGTATGAGTGCTGAGTATGAGAGATTTGTACCAGAGAATCTTAGGCTGCTTCTGGCAGTTAAAAACTAAACACTTCTAAAAAAAAAAAAAAAAAAAAAAAGAAAAATTGTAATGACATCAAAATCTATAGTAGCTTGCAAAATGTCAACTTTTTTTTTGTTAAATAAGATGGTAAACTTGATGGTGACAGGATTGGTCAATTTATTTTTTGGTGGCTCCTAATAGTGTATGTGCAGTAAATTAACACAAAGAATGATGTTGAAATCTGTTAATTTTTTTCATTTTTTTAAAATCTACCATATAAAGTATTAATACCTGTTAAATACAATCTATTTTTTTTTTGGTCTTTTTAGGGAACAAATAAAGAGAGTTAAAGACTCTGAAGATGTCCCAATGGTGCTAGTAGGAAACAAATGTGATTTGCCTTCCCGAACAGTAGATACAAAACAAGCTCAGGATTTAGCAAGAAGTTATGGAATTCCTTTCATTGAAACATCAGCAAAGACAAGACAGGTAAAGTTCAAAACTTCCCAGACGCAAATGCAGAACTCTCATCTGAATTATCATTAAGTTAATTATTCTAGGGATTGACAATTGCTTAGTCACATCAATAGATACATTTCTCCAGAGCAGAAATTCTTGTGGTGTCTCTTCTTTCTCTCAACTCGCTGACAACTGGTAATTGTTTATTAATGAGTGATTCACTTCTGTTGCGCAAACTCAAAGAATGAGACCTGGACTGCTCTTACTCTCCACTGTCAGATGGTTGCAGCATTCTCAACATTGCGATAGGTTTTAATAGAATAAAAAGCACTTCTACTTAGAGGTGAAATGCCTTTTTTTTTTCTTCTTCCCCCTCAGCAAGAGGATTAAGCAGACAAACAGCTAATTAGTTTATTCTGTTTTAAGTCTTTTCATTAATAACAAAAGGAATTTTTCTTTGAGGCATTGATTCGACATTAGTGGGATGTGCTCGACAGACCTTTTTATAGCTAAGCAATTGACCATAAGTCTTTTTTTAAATTATTGGATTAATTGCTTGTGTAAAGCGATACTCTTCTAAGACTTTAGAGCTCACTCATAGTTTATTGCACCCCACTGGTACAGGTGAAAGAGGCAGCCATTAGGGTCCTTTCAGGGCTTCTCTCAGGGTTTGCTAGGACAAAGGTGCCCATGGTGGTACATCTGTGTATTCAGGAGAACATAAGCTATAGAGATGTAGGTGAAACTGGTTCTGTACTTCTGAAAGAAAGCTATTCTTTTTGAAAAATGCTGGTTTGTGGTTTTTCTTTTAAGAGTAAAGACCTACTGTCTGTACAAATTAGATCAGGTCTGAATAGCCAAATAACTCCATATTCTCTTCATAATCTGAAGTGTTATGTGCAAGTTATGAATCGGGAATTAGGTGCAGCAGAAGGAAGCAAATAAAAGTAACATAATGCAATTGGAGTAACTGCTCAATGTAACTGCTAAATAGATTCAACTGTATCATTTGGCAGAATTTTCTCATAGACAGTACATGTTATTTTTGGATATAAGAAATTAATATTTTATTAGTGCAAATTTGCTGCACCCACCCAAGTTTCTGACAAGTGGAAAACTGGAATAATTAGTAAAACTTTACAGAGGAATCAAAGGAATGCTATCTTTTGGCAATAGAGAAAGTCTCTGTTAGGTTAAAAAAAAACAGAACTAGACAACTTTAATGGCTGAGAATAAATTAGGCCACAAGAGTGTTCTGAAGATAGTGGACTGAATAATCACAGTGCTTTTGTTTGGAAGGTGTCCTGTATTAGCGGCTGTCAGTGAGATGTTGGGATAAAAAAGGAAGAACTCTGAAATCATGTTTGAGATTCGAAATAATAGAAGTTCTGTACTAACATCTAGATTTTACTTTGTTCAGTCTGTTTTACAGAGCATCAGGCTTTGCTGAGGAAATACTCCTTTTGCATAGCCACTTTTAATAAAAGTATATTGGTATGATGGTGTATTTTCAAAGATTTCTTCTCCCCGCCCCACTTGTAGCTTACTCCTACAAGCAGCCTCACCATGCCTAGCCAATATAAAATCGCATGCTCAAAAATCACCACTCCAGTTTTAAATCTTTGTTTACACAAAGTAGTATCTGGTTTTTTTTTTGATCTTTCAGACTTTTAAGAGGTCTGCCAGAGGTTTGTATTTATTTCAGAGGACAACAGATCAGACATATGTGAACTGTCATTCTATAATTTGACAGCTTTTACCTGTGACTTTATTATTTCTGGAGGTACCAACTGTAATGTTATAGAAGGGATCTGACTGTTGGCTTTTGTTTTTCAAAGCTGAGCTTTACACCCTCTACAGATGAGGAGTCCCTAAAGGTGTTTCGTGGATTTTAAAATAAAGGTCCCAATAGACTCTCTTGAGAATGTTGGCTTCTAGAAGTTGGAACCACTAGGTATGGCTGCCGATTCTTTCGCAGTGCTGTTCATAACATGTGTTATGAAATTGCTTCATAAGATGCTGTGTTAATAAAATATTTTTGAGAAGACAAAAGGGAATTGGAGGAAGAACCTGATCTTTAATTACAGCAAGATCATCTAAATATTCATGTAGGTGTGTACATAAATCTGTATACATACGTATTTACATATTACGATTTTTTCAGTCACACTGTCATATATTAAAAACATGTACCTATGCATCTATATGTACCTTCTTCCAAAGTAAGAGGATTCATACCATTTTGTGAGCTGCATGTGGCCCATGGACTATATTTTTTATTGGGCAGAATTCAGTCCTTGGCTACAAATAAATAAATAAATTCTGGTCCTCTCTGGTTACATGCAGAACTTCCAAGTATGAACAGATGTAGCTGGTGCTCTGGTAAATTCTGGAGTCTGTAGAAAGTCTGACATGACTACTTGGAAGTAGGAACCTTCTTTTCCTGTATGCAACTCCCACCACACTGAAAATGTCAGCACTGATGCCCTGTCGAAGGGGCCCCCACCATCTTCTTGCTTCAGCCCTTCCCTGTGCCCCACTTCTGCTGGACCTCAAAGGGAATCAGAAGGACTTCTGGGGAAGGAGACACAGGAGATGGAAATGGAAAGGAGTTGTCCATGTAGTCTGTTTTGATTGCCAAAACACTTTTTTTAAGTGATGGCATCGTATGCTTATGCAGAATGGTGTCTCAGTTCCAACTAAGTCAGGTTTTTAAGATTTTTAAAAATTCTTAGGCAAAAGGTCAAAAATAGGAAAGAGAAAAACCACAGAAATGAAGTGCAGAAATAAGTTGCTCTAAAAACTAGTGTATTTGTTTTTATTTGGTTCTCACTGGCAGTAAACATGTAAACTTTAACTTACTGCAAAAAGGTCGTGTTTTAAGCCAAATCACTGTGTGAATTTTCATACAAGTTGTTGAGCTCTTGTGAAACATTCACTTAGTGGACCCTGCAACTTGGGTCTAAAGCTATAAATTATTAATTTTTTAAATTAGACCACTGACTGAAATTAATATAATGTAATTTATGAAAAATAGTGATAGTCCTATTTCTAAATATAAATGTGTGTCAATACTGGTGGTTTTGTAAGGCATATTGCATCACTTATACTTGTCCTTTCATGATTCTTATGCAGAAGGGTTTGAATATCTTAGGTATAGCTGGTTTTGCTTTTCTGTTTGACATAAGCATTAAATTCAGATTCTTCCCTGTCCACATGAGCATATAGCTCTCAATATTATCAATAATATCGATAAGAGGCAAACTCGATTTATCCCCACCAAGGATAAATGTGCATCCTGTATTCTTTACTGGGCTTCCATTTGCCTGTGGGTTACACAAGGAAGAGCTGTAAGGCTGTACCCCAAATGTGGTTTGACTGTAGGATTTTGTTTTCCTTGCAACATTTCAACTGTTCTGCTAGTATTGAATTCAAAGGAAAAGCAGATATATGGGCATTATTGTAAGCATAATAAAGGATTCCCCAAAGTGTTAGGTCTCACTTTGAGAATATATACGTAAACACACTTTTGAAGTGTTTAATGAAGGAGCTGAAATCCTAAGAATGCTTATAAAAAGCATTATAGTTATTTCAGCTCTCTGATGTACAATAGATTAGGCCCTAAACTTGTGATGAAAATAAGTTGAGAACCTGTGCCTGGTCTGATGAAGTAAGCAATGCAGTATTTACAGAACTTCATTCCTACATCTCAGTTGAGAGTCATGAACAACTGATAACTTAGTTTGCCTGAACCAACTTGCAATTTTCATGGATTTCTCATCTGTTTAATGATATTATACATGTTTTACTCCAAGCCATTTTTCATGTAGTTCATGTGTACAGGTTCCATTTTAAAACTTTTTGGTTTCAAGAAGTTGAACTTTGTCAGACTTCATAATGTGGGTTGAGTTTTTTTCATGTCACTTGTTTGTTGTAACATAAAACTTTTCCAAAAAAGCTTAGTCCTTCCCAAGAATAAGGCCCCAAGGAAGAAGAAAAAAAAAAAAGGTTTTGATAATGTTGAAACAAATTCTGTCATCTAGCTTGTGTGCTGAATGACTCCAGGATGCTGAGGAAACGTGTTTGTTATTTACCTAATGTAAACAGAAATAGGTGCAGAAAAAAAAAAAAAAAGGATACATGAGCACAATGGGTGAAATTCAGACAGCTGTAATTCTGGCACTTCTTAACTTTGGAGTGATTAACTTTGTAACTTTAATCATGATTTTGTGCAGTATTTAATATGAATTTACTGATGTATGGTATTTAACCATCATAAGATAGCATGATCAGCTTAACACTCTCTCCCCAAACTAGTGGAGGTGTTGCATGTGGCTGAGTTGTGGTAACTGTTTCCAAACAGTCCTTTGAAGTATTATCTCTGTTTTAGAGACAGCAAAAAATTAGCTTTTACCTGTGAGCTAAATGTTACAGGAGCTAGGAGATTTTTGCAGGTTTGTGTATTCTCTAGTATTGGTGAAGCTGACTTTACCACTACGAAGTTTTATGTTGGGAGTGCTTTTAGGCAAGTGAGTAGCATTTTTTTTGCTCATGTCCTCATGGGTAATTTTGATTTTTATTTGTCTTACAGTTGGTTTTAGGAGACCAACTCTGATAAAGTGTATACAGGTGGACGCAGAACACTTTTGAGATGTCAGGGCTAACTTTCATTAGTTCCCTTTAAGCGATATTTACAGAAGCGGAACTTGTGAAAATTCCCTTTTGGAATTTGGTCTTTATTTGAAATAATATTTCTTTGCACATAGTCATGTTTTAAACAGAATGTTTCGCTGTCTCCTAGGAGTCAAAAGCATCTTGAAAACATTGCCTCAAGGTCATGGGTTCTTTGGGCTGTTTAGATTTTGAAGTTTTTAATATCTGCCAAAGGATGTTTTTGCTTCCAGTTCTGCCAGCTAAAAGAACTGGTTAATCATATTTTAGATATATGGTGCATGCTCATTTAAGGAAAAACTGCTGAAGAATCCTAAAAGAAATTCGTATTAAAATGACTTCTTAAGTTTATAAGATTG